TTTCTGATCCCCCTGCCTCTGTCTCTCAGGTGCTGGAGTGATGATGGGCTTGTGCCATTGATCTTGGCTGTTTTTCTAATGTATTTTATTTTCTGTATATGAATTTTTACACATATCTGTATATGTGCACCACTTATCTGGTGCCCACGGAAGTCTGAAGAAGGTGGCAGATACCCTAGAACTAGAGTTACAGATGGTTGTGAGTTGCCGTGTGGCAAGTCCTCTGCAAGAGCAGTAAGTTCTCTTAACCGCCGAGCCATTTCTCGAGCCCCCTGTGCTTGGCTGTTTAAAGACTTGCTTTGCTTGCTTTAATCTTGTGTGTGTATATCGTGTGCTTATGTGGATGAGTGTGTGGAGCCCCAGGACAGCTTCAGATGGTTGGTGCCTGCCTTCCACCTTCTTTGACACAGGAACCCTTTTTACGGATGGCTGTATCAGGATAGCTGGCCCTTGAGTTTCCTGGGATCCTCCTGCCTCCACTGCTGTAGAACTGGGATAGTAGGCTGGTGCTTTACATGACTTGTAGGGATTCTGGTTCCTGGGGATCTGAACTCAGGTCCTCATGCTTGTGTGGCCAGCACTTTACCCACAGAACCAGCTCCCAAGTCCAGTGATTATTTTAATCTGAATTTTCAAGCTCTACACACCCCACCACCACCCGACTGCCAGGAAAGAGTGATGCCAGAAAGATGTGTTCTGATCACCTATGGCTTTCAAGGAACGGCTGGTTCCTATTTTGGTGCTGATGAGCCAGTCTAGAAACAGCAAACAGCCCTCAGTTAAGGTCCTGAGACAATCTCACAAGGAGCCCACCAGAGGAGCCCTAACCAGAAGCTAAAACGTCTGTTCTTGCCTTTAGTGCGATTGAATGCAAACTTAAAAAGTAAACTTGAACTTCTCCTTGGAATGGTCACATTGTCCATCTGAAGACAGAGGTCATAGAGATCTTGGTGACTCAAAAGAGCAGAAAATACCTAATTTCAGACACAACAAGAGGCAAAGCACCTGGACTCCCCACTCCCACCCCACCCCTTCTCCCTCTCCCACACTGCGAGCCCTGAGACTTCAAAGTCCGGCAGCAGTGATAGACACAGACGGTCTTTGATGCCTGAGAACCTCGGAGCCCGCGGTTAGAGCAGAGAGTGGAGCATCTGCACTTTGCAAACCTTCCGTGTGATCTAGCACTGTAGGCAGCAAAAGCGTCCAAGCTCTGGGTAAGGTATGTTACTCGCATTAAAGTCTTTGGAACCGCTAACTTTTCATTTCTTTTTCTATTATTTATAGCCCCTTTTTCTCTGCAAACTACGCTGGAGAGTAAATTACTTCTGGCACTCAGCCTTGTCAGCTTGCCAGGCTCGCACTGGAGCAAGTTTTTACAACCCAGCTAATAAGCCCTCAAAATGAGGAGGTCGGTCTAATGGAAATAATGACACGGTTTTTAACTGCAGGAGCACAGAGTGACAACGTGACATTCTAGTTGATTCTACTGCTTAACATTTTCCCCCCTAGTGAAATTGTCATGTTTTTAGGCTATTATAGTTCAAAACGCATGTAAATGGAAAGGGTTTCTTTTCAATGGGAAGAAAATTAGTTTTGTGTCTTTTTCCTGAAGTTTAAGTTCCTGGGTTTTGTAAACCCGAAAATAATCAATAGGTAAATAGATAAATAAGTCAATGTAGGAGGAGCAGGTGAGAAAAGGAAGACCTAGAATATGGCAGTTTGGGTAAACAGCCTGATTTTAAAACTCACTGACATCTTCCCAGGCCACGTTCCAAAACGACCGGCTTCTAGACCTGGTAATTGTCTGGGCGCAAATGCGTTCTACCAACGCCGTGACTGATTAGCTACAATTATTATTTTTTCCAACTTTCCCAACTGCAGTCAAAATTAAGTTCTAGCCTTCTCAATGAAAGTGAACATCATATTTGACTTTTATCATGGAGAGGAACTTGAGAAGCAGCATCCATTTCTCTAAACTTAATGGTGATATCTGATCCCACTCACGGTTTATGAGGCAAAGAAGTTTGTGAAACGTGTGTGCATGGGTGTGTGTGTGTGCTAAAATAATGTGGCCCTGCCCCTAAAATGTCAGCTTTCTAGTAATTTCCCAACAATGTCATGCTTTGTCCCTCACTAAACAATCATATACTATTCTTTGTGTCTGGAAGGCTCACTATCTATTTGCCAAGTTTACTTCATCAAACATTTTTTTTTTAGTTAAAATTAAAAAGTAAACGTGCTTTAGCATACCACCACTACACTGTGATCTACAGAGTGAGG